ACGTATAATCTCATCATCGGAAAAATGCAAAATAGAATTGGAAGTATTGACTGACATACCGGTAGTGACATCAATGTCACGAAACTTGGTAGCCCGCATGGCGTGCCCTAGCTGCATGTCATCAACATCCGGCTGGTCCTGGAAACAACAACTCATCCGTCGACCTTCGGACATGGGATCCGGGATCCCTCCGAAAGCGACAATCTCGTCCCGCGTGGGCCCGTTCGCGGTAAGGCCTCCTGCCCGACCCCCAAATGGGTTCAACTAAACTGAACCAATCGGGCTATGGCCACCTGTCATCGGCCCCACCGGCGAAGCCACACCCACCTCCACAGCAGCGGGCCCCGGAGCGCTAAGCGGCGTTGGCCGAGGGTTGCAAATGGGGGGCATAAGCGGGTGCAAAGCCTCCTGCTCTGCTGGCCCGCCCCCACCGCACCTACCGTGCTCCGCAGGGGCGCCTCGGGGGAGGCAGAAGCGAGGGCCTCCTGCCCTACCCCCCAACCCGGTGTCCCCCTCGCGCAATGATCGCCACCAGCATGGCTGGAATCCTCCTCTGAGGCGAAGCGCTGGCCCAAACATGAACATTGAGGGAAACGGGGCCACCTGCCCACGCGTCTCCCCAACCTCGATGCCAAACTCGGCTGCTTGAGCAAGCACTGCTGCGGGGACCACTGAGGTAGGTGCACACTCCACCAAGGTCTCCCCGTAGCAACATCCGAGTGACCACTAACTAGGGCCTCATGCCCAGCAAGATCAAGAGGAGGTAACGAGTTCTTGAACAGATCAACACTCTCCACCCGATCACTCCACGGTCAAGGAGGTGCGGAAGCAGACTCAAACGAGCCAAATCTCAGCGAGTTCATGGGCGTAGAAGTAGGTAGTGGCGCACCCTTCTGTGGCGCCACCAAAGCGTCTTTTGTGCCCGGGGTGTTAGACTTATCTCGTGTGATGTCATCCTATCGCTGCTCCTTGTTACCCGAGCCATCATCCTTATCAGTCATATCCAGATCATCCCGTGCCATGGCCTCCGTGAACAGATCGGAGTCCTCCAGCTCAGTCTCTAGGTTGTAGATCTTCCCCGCATGCGTCCATCTGACCGCATCCGGTATATACTCAATGTCCACAACACTTAGAGATATAATTAGAGGAAGAAACTAATGGCTAATTAAATAAGAATAGCATAGCTCCAAGATCTGCTATGCAAAGATCCATCTAATGAGAAAATTAATGGATAACTTGGAGGGGGCGCAGTGCTCGACTTGGACGGCACCCAAAGCTCGACTTGGACGGAGGAGGCTCCCGCCCGGGAGGTTGCTCACCTGCATAATTACCATAAGGGACTACAGCCGAGCACAACGCCGTCCTCCCTGTCACGGAGAAGTAGGACAGCTAGAGATGGCGCCCCTGTCTTCAGCAGCACAGCATATGTTAGCATAAGCCGTGTGCGTGCATGTGTGCGTGTGTGTGGCGCGTCTGTGCGCGTGTGCGTTCGGTTAGTTTGTTAGCTAGCTACATGCGTGGAGAGCTGCACGCACTAGGGGCCGTTGCTAGCTGTTGGAGGCAGCCGTGTCGTACGCGTTTGTGCGCGTCGTGCGCGCGGCCGGAGCATATGGATCGAGGGCGAGCGAGCTGGGAGCGTGCGTACGTGCGCATGTGTTTAGTTCTTGTATAAATCCCCTCGTGTACTGCTCGGTGTGCGACTCTGAGTTGCCGAGCATGTAGACATTCCCATGCAAAAAAAGAGAGCATGTAGACATTGTAAAGACAAAGAAGATTAGGGTGTGCGTGCGCCCACGGCGGCGTTTGTGCGCCGGCCGGGAAAATCCTTTGTCCACTGTGTTCATCTCCTTCCTTCTTTCTTGTTCGAGCGAGTGAGCTGCGAGAGAGAGAGCAGCTAGGCCAGGCTTGGCAACAACAGCATAGCGGGGCATGGGTGCAAGCCATGGCGGAGTGACGGTGGTGGAGCGTTGTGCCAGTGTCCGCGTGGTGCAGGGAGGTGGGGAGGCGCGGGCAGCAGGGAGACGGGGATCCCGGTACGGGACACCGGAGCCTGCCCGCGCTCAGACGGCGGCGGGCGCAGATGGTCGCGGTGCACCAGATGTATCCGGCGAGGGGGTAGCAGGGCGCGAGCGGGTAGTAGCCTGGCGGCGCGCACGGGGGCTAGGGGTGGCGGCGGCGGGTCAGGGGTTAGGGGTGGTGGCGCGTCGGGAGGTAGGGCGGCGGCGCGTCGAAGCAGGTGGAGTTGCTTCTTTAGAAGATGGTGGTGAACGGCATTCCCTATTTAGCGCTGCAGGCGCCCGTTACAGGCCATTTTTGCTAACGGGCGCCTGCAGCAAACACCCCCGCTCACGACTGGACCGGCCCGTTTAACTCTTTCTTCTTTTCCTGTTAAAAGTCAAAAAAAAAGGTACGACCGCTGAGACTCGAACTAAAGACCTTTTAATTCTGAGCTACGCGTACAAACCACTAGACCATCTCGACTGATTCTGCAGACTCACATCCTTTCCCCTATTTATCTTTATAGTTCGCGGAACTTTATTTTTTTTCTTTTCCTTTTTTTCCTTTTTCTGGGAGCTGTTTTGTTCAGATTTTGTTTCTCTTTTTTTGGCTAAATACGTGAACCTTTTATGCAAAATCGTGATTTTTTCTAAAAAAATCAATGACCATTTCTTCAAGGCCGATGAACGTTTTTTCGAAATCGATGAACACTTTTACAAAATCGATGAATTTTTTTTCGAAATCGATGAATGTTTGTCCAAAATGATGAACTTTTTTCAATGTCGATGAACTTTTTTTCAAAATCGATGAACTACTTTTCAGATTCATGTTTTTTTTCCAAAATCGGTGAACTTTTTTCAAAATCCATGAACTTTTTTTAATTTATATGAACTTTTTTGAAAATCTATGAACTTTTTTGAAAATCTATGAACTTTTTTTCAATTCAATGAACATTTTTCTCAAAATCCATGAACTTTTTTTTAAAATTTGATGAACTTTTTTGAATTCGATGAACTTTTCTTTGAAAACAGTGAACTTTTTTTCAAATTTGTGAACTTTTTTCAAATTGGTTGAAGGTTTTTTAGAAATTGATGATCTTTGTTCATTTTTCACGAACCTTTTTTCAGAATTCGTGGGGTTTTTTGTGAATTTCTTTTTCAAATAATTATTTCTGGGTATATAGTATATCTCTAGAGGAAGGGTTAAATGTTCCTCGTTTCTGATAGTTGACAAGCTTGGCCGCTTGGTCTGGTGGTTTGGGCGTTACGTTTCTCTACCTTAGACGATGGGTTCGATTCTCAGTTTTTGCATGTTACACCAGTAGGTTTTTTACAGTCTTTTCTACTTGATTGGGCCGGCCCGCTAGCTCCCGCTGCAGGCGCTGTTAGCGCTAACCGGCGCTTGCAGCGCCGACTAGGAGCTCCCGTGGTGAACTGGCTGGAGAGGAGGTTGCCTTTTCGTTTTGGGCCAGTGAAGTTCAGTGGGCTTTTTCTTAATCTAGCGTACCGATTCGGGAAGTTATGATCGGGCCTTAAGAGACTCACGGCTGTTACTGGTAACATAATAGCCATGTCCTATATTATATATAGACATGTGGGTGTAATTACACCCATGTCTCTATACTACCATGTGGTAGTATATATAGTATGTTATAATTTTTAATATATTTATATACTATATCTAAGATACTCCACAGCGAGTTATGTGAAAAAATTGCATGTGGACCCATAATTTTTATTATATAGGAGCAGCGCACAAGAACAACAACCACCGCCGACAAAGAGAAGCATAGACCGGAAGGATCCAATCTGCAGACACAATGACGCAGATGAAAGAAGACTGGATCCAAGCGGATCCACCGAAGACAAACGCCGATCGGATCCCACAAGGTCCATCGGAGATACACCTTCACACGCTCTCCAACGATGCCAGAAACACCACTGGAATGGGGGCTGGACTGGACGAAACTTATTCCATCTTTAAAAAGCCGCCACGGCCGCCTCGTGTTCCTGATCATGACACAAACCCTAAAAAAACTCAGAAAAATACCGAAGAACGGAGACCTCCCGCTAGCAAGGACCGGGATCCATCATGCCTCCATGATGCTAGCTGTGCGCCTAAATTATGACCACAACAAGATCAACAATTGAACTAATTAAGGACTAGATTTTGACGAAGAAGATGCCCCTAAAAACCGTACGGATTCAATCATGTGTAATCCTGCTCAAGGTGCGAAGCCTCCGGGTTTGATAGCATGTTCTCATCCAATTCTATCTACACGCCGAGTCTTATCTAAAACCTTCAAAGAGTAGGTGATCTGTTGTACTTCCTCCATTTTTAAATATAAGTTTCTTTTCGAGATTTTAATATGACTACATACAGAGGAAGTATACACGCAAGTACGTAACTCTATATCTTCTAGAACAAGTGAGGACCCACAACTATCTATAGTATCTTTTTTAACACGGTACAGACGCATATAATCATACATACGCACATACACACTCAGCCTTTAAAGACACGCATGCACATCCTATCAAAGACTGAGTCGGCACATCATGTTGAGATTGACAAAGTCGTCACAGACACCTCCGTAGTAAACGGAACGTCTCATGTCACTGAACACACATCGCCGGAAGGCCTAAAACAAATTCAAAAAAAATGCAACCATCAGTGTCAAGTTTAGGACCTGATCCATGGTGGATTGGTTTCACCACAAGAAACCTAACCATCTACTCAGTTCGCCTCCTAGATAGCACTATCTGGTTGTCATGGAACATACCCATGATTTAGTATATGACAGGCTGATTGTTCAAAATGCATTTAGAAAGATAAATAAAGATTCTACGTCTAACTATGTACTCACAAGCTTTCCTTTCATATGGAAATTAGAAGATCTCATAAATGGCAATAAAAAGTAATCTGATAAGCACCAGAGCAATAATTCACACACTAGTGAAGTCTGATGATGATTTGCTTTTTTCAAGGGTGATCATCGCAACATGGGGAATGTGGAGCAACACTCGGGAAATGCAACGCCAACAACCTTTCTGCATTACCAGTTGAGTGATATGTGGAGGAGTCCTAGGGGGACTGTCCTTCGTATCGAGGGTTTTGCACTGGTGGCAATCGCCTGCTCCTTCTTCCTTGTTGCCTTTGGGTCCTGTCGCCGCTGGTCTAATCGTTGGATTATCCAAAATGGCTTCTTGGCTGCACAAGTGTTATCTTTGTCCCTTGGGACTTACAGCATTGGCCTAATGCAGTCTTCGCCAGTGAAGAGCGAGATGTATCCTATATGGGCTGTGTCCTTGCTCACACTGTTTGGCTGCATCGACCCAGTCACCAACTACATCGGCCTTGAATACAAAGGTCCATTGTTGAAGATGATATTTCAGCTTTGCCTCTACTGTGGATATGTCCTGCTGATGAGTGTGTCAACCATCTCCGGTAGTGTTGGTAAATTAGCCATTTGCGTATTGTCTGTCGTCACCTTCATGAAGGGCTTTCATATGTCATTGGCGCTTGTCCAGCCTAGCAGAGGGAGGGACGAGTTAGCACTAATAAATCCAGCGTTTGCTTATAAAGAACCACGTGCTTTAGCAGGTGAGGGTGAGGAACTTCTGGTCCATTTAAAGGAGCCCACGTTCTTGGGAGACCGATATTTTAGCATGGCTGACATAAACTCGAGCTGTGAGGAAATGTTGGATAGGCTACAGTTGAAAGAGATCACTGTCAAAGACATTCGAGATGTGTGCCTTGGCTACTCTCTGTCTCATTTGTTACAACGACATTTCCTTGGGTTGGAGACCCCTAGGGAAATGGAGTTCAAAATTGAGGAATTTGAAAGCATTGCATGGGAGGACATCGACTATAAGAGGACGTTGAAGGCGATTGAGGTTGAGTTGACTTTTCTGTATGATGTCTTTTTCACCAGCAATGGGTTCCTTCACTGTGACGAAGCAAAAACCTCAAGCTTCTGGGCATTCGCTTCATTCATTGGGATATGTTTTGTCGGGGTAGCGACTGCCATTCCTGGGGCAATGTCCAGCCAGCACAGTATTACAGGAGGCTCTAATAATAGTCCTGGTGCTGGCGCTGGCACTATTGTTGTTGTTAACACCACAAGAGTTGACCTGATCATCACTCTTGTCATATTGGTGTCTCTGGCTCTGCTCCAACTAGTGCAGTTGATACGGTGCTGGACGTCGAATTGGGCGCGAGTCGCCTTTGCCTGCGACTACGCCAGGAACCGAAGCAGGCAAGAGTCAACAACCACAGATCCAGAAAGCTGCGAGCAAATCAGCTTCAACTCCAAAAAGCAGCAAGTCAGCGGGTGGATGAGATTGAAAGCGTTTGTGGTTACCAGGATGAATTGGTTTGACAAGTACCTCTGGCAAGATAAGCTCGGGCAGTATTCACTACTTGATGAGGCAGCGAGGAGAGAATCCCGACAAGGATTTCATCTAGTTTGTGTGGAGTTGTGCGAGTTACTGGCTAAGACCCGGTGCGGGCGCGCCTGTGGTCGCTTGCGTCGGATGCTTGGATTGCAGTACATTGGACGGGTGCTCCGGGAATTGTGGGCCTACGACAATGTGAAGGCATTGTGGGCTCCGGGAATTGAGGGCTCCGGGAATTGCTGCACAGCCGTCAGGTTGCACGACGATGTGAAGGCATCCATTGCCGATTTCCTCGGCAAGATCGAGAGCAGAAGAATAGGGGTGAAGTGGTCATCCTTGTTTGACGAGAATGGAATAGACTTAGCCTGCCTTCCCTATTCCACCGTCCCTCTGCGGCTGAGCCCTGGTACTATTATGTCCGATGCCTTCGCGTTCTCGAACCGTGTCTTGATTTGGCACGTCGCGACTTGTTACTGCGAGGTAGCCGAACCTCATGAGGGAAGCGCGGGAGTCGGCGGTGGCAGTGGCACTAGAGAGAGGAATCGGAATCGGCGCGTGGCCATGGAGCTGTCCAGGTATTGCGCCTACCTGGTGGTGTCTGCGCCGGAGTTGCTCCCTGGGCCATCCGTGGAAGCAAAGCGCGCGCACTTGATAGCTACGACCCTTTTCCACGAAAAGAACCAAAAGAAATCTATTCACTGGGGAAGAAGACGTACGTCGCTGCTGGAGGACATGCAACAGCTGCTGGAGAAGATCCAAAAGAGGTTACCTGCAGGTTTTCCATCCGATAAAGAAGATGCCATTGAGATGGGTGTGCATTGGGGGATGCGGCTTCTCAACCAGAGGCCGCCGCCTCCCGGATGCACGCCGCGGCGCCGCTCAGACGACCACTGGGAGGTGCTGGCGCTCCTATGGGTGCAGACGTTGCTCTACGCCGCGCCGTATGGCGACATGCAGAAGCACATGCAGCGTCTCTCGCAGGGTGGTGAGTTCATCACCCACCTCTGGGCCCTGCTCTACCACATGGGCATCGACAGGTGGGACAGTGAACCAGCCCAAGCTGCTGCAGGAGAGACGAGGGAAGCTGCACAAGTCCAAGGAGATGTCAAGGATAGAGAGCCTGAAGCTGCTGCAGCAGAGACGACTCAGAAGACGGAAGCAGCACATGCTACAGGGGAGACGAGGGAAGCCGCACAAGTCCAAGGATATGCGAGAGAAGCAGAAATTCAAGAGATTGTTTAATTGATTGATTGATGCAGTAATGAGGACTCTGGATCGAGTACCCACTCGATCGGCTGTTTTTATTCTTACTACTTAAGCTTGTTCCTTCACCTGCTTTGAAGATTTTAATTATTCTGATGTAGAGTAATGTATTTAACTATTTATGCATGTTTTACTCTGTGTGTGTGTGTGTGATCCAAAACGCATCTGGATTGCTTCAGTACCAATGATGTACGTACTCACTTGATAATACATTTGCAACCTTTGTTTTATTCGGTTTATTTAGTACTCCATCCTATAATATAAGACGTTTTTGCAGTTCAAATCGAACTGCAAAAGCGTCTTACATTATGGGACAGAGGTGGTACTAGTTATTACTGAAAATGCATGCGCGTATATGTACTGTTTCTCCTCAATACAGTACTATTATGGAACTCCATCGGGTTTGGTTTCCCTGCAACTGCAAGCATATATATTCTTTGTCTCGTCTGGAGTTCCTAGCTCCAACTTTGTAAGCCTGTTCTGAAGACAGCAGGTAATCGGTCTAGATCCATTGCTACTTCAAGCATTGGATTTCTTTCCTATGAGGACCTGAAACAAGCATCCAACTTTTCCCGATGTAGTGTAGGCTTGGAATGCACTACTTTGGATGGCTGGTGAGCTGGTTGAGGAGCTGCTATATACTCCACGTCGCCCAATGGGAAAGTATCAGCTACTCCCATCTTTGGGGTACTTTCGATGCTCCAAGTTCAAAAAAGACATTCATAATTGTTTCAAAAAATTCCAAAAAAAAATATGAATGTTCACAAGGAATGTGACTACAACCCCAAAAGAATCCAGGTCCAAACTTGAAACACACATTGAGAAATAAAAAAGTGAAATATGGCATGAGTAGTATTAGAAAAAGAAAAAAGCAACATTGACACTATTTGCATCTGGATTTCATTTTTTTGTTTCTCAATGTACATTTTTATTTTGGACCTGAAATTTTTAGGGGTTGTAGTCACATTCCTTGTGAACATTTATATTTTTTTACGGAATTTTTTGAAACATTTAAGAATCTTTTTTGAACTTGGAGCACCGGGAGTACCCCAAGGGTGGGAGTAACCGATACTTTCCCGTCGCCCAATCCCACAGAGTGACCCTCACTGAGACAGCCGACGTAGCAACACGTTTTTCATAGCCAGCACTCCTATTAATTTTTTGTATTTTCTCTTCTTATGGTTTTTCGGTTTTTTATTTTAGATTTCTAGGAAAACTAAGAAATTCATTTACTTTAGAGAATTCAATTTTTCAATCAAATACTTTTTACAAGACGTGAACATCTATTTAAATTCCAAACATTTTTAGGTTTTTCTAAAATAAGATTTTATTTGGAAAAAGTGATTTAATTTAAATTTCAGTATTTAAAAAATAATTTGTGAACATTTTCAGATGCGTACATTTTTTGAAAATTTGAACCTTTTATTTTAATTAGAAGATTTCACAAACTTTCTGAATAAATTTAAAACACAGTCATTCTTCAAAATAGGGACATTTACTGAAATTTAAAAATAAAATAAAAATTACAAGCAGGAAAATTAAAGAAATAACAATAAAAATTAGCCAAGGACCTCTTTGAAGGTTCTCATTTCTCAAAAACCTAGAAGAACAAATATCGAAATCACTAACTGTGGAGTACTCATTGCGAAGATCACTCCCACCTTCTCAAGTTGCGACAAGTGGCGTGTTGCATGTGCACCACTTGACGCAACTGGGAGTTTTCAAAGATATTTACGCCAGAAATGCAACATGAAAACAGTTCAGGGTTTGGACGCATAGTTCAAAAGATAAAATGTTTTAATTAAACGAATCTACGGAAATAAAAACCTCCTAGATAGTGATGTGTGTCACTTGTCAGCGCCTGTGAAAATGGGCGGTGAACTTTGCAAGGGGTAACTCTTAACCAGTGATTTCGTCAGAAGTGGAAGTGAGATCGAAGGGCCGCCGCGGCGTTGCTGGGCGAGCTTGGTGGCGATGTCTGCCTACCTACAAAAATGTGATCGACGATGGTACAGGCTATTTGCAAAAGAAAGAAAAAAAAACTTGGGCTTCAAACCAAACCTGCCGTGGACTCCGATGGATGGATTGAGATTCCATCCCGCGGCATGCATGTGTGCGAATACGTGAACGAAGAGCAACGCATAAAGTGAAGATGCCTCATGTCCTGCCCACAAGCAAAGGCAGGGAGCCCCCCGCCCAAAGCCAAAGGGCCAAAGACGTTGAACCTAGAAAGAAGCTAAGGTGTGTCGCCCGCATTTCAAAACTACTCTTCTCGTGAACTTCATCTTGCTCGGTCCAACTCTAATACAGAAAACTGAGGTCTTTTAGTAACATTTGCAGCAGCCTGCAGGCATAGAGGGACATTGAGTCCGTAGGCCTTCTTCTCGAGGAGCGGGAAGAAGGCTCATCAACCCGGCGACCGACAGGGCGGGAACATGGTACGCAGCTTAATTTCACAGAAACTATAATTTTATTACTTGTAGCAATCGTAACTATAATTTCGCGTAATTTACTAACTTATCTAAAGTAGAGAGGCAGACGCATGCTTTGGATACAGCCTCTATTTTGTATTGTCCGCTCTGCCATCAATCTCTTTTTCTTTTGGTATATAGAAGCACACTACTTTTGTTTGGAGCCGGAGATATCTAGTTTTCATATCAGATGCACTTTTCCAAATTAAATAGAAATTAAACAATAAACTTAACCAGCATTAGAGGATCTTGAGATCATTAGTAGTATGATTTGTATATAACAAGAAGGAAAAAAATGTCCATATAATTAACCTCCTGGACTATGTTTGGGCATCCGCATAGCCCCGTAAGGCCTTGTACAATGCAAGGTGCTTAGGGAAGGTGTTTAAAGAAATAAATCAAGCGTTTCTTAAGAACCGATGCTTATTTGTACAGGGTAGACGCTTAACTAGGCGTCTCTCCTTTAGAAATAGGCACCGGTGTTTTAAAAAAATCAGATTTATTTTTCTAAGCATCTCCCTAAGCACCTAGCATTGTACAAGGTCTAACCTTCTAATCCACTCATTTTACACCATAGTTTTTGTGGGCAGACATTTTTTTGCGAAATAAATTCTTGCATTACTCGACATTATGGATTACAATCTCGTCCAACAAGTTCCATGACCTCTTCTGGACCAGAGCCTAGCCAACCTATAGTTCAGCCTTGTAACTGACCAAAATTAGCCAAAGCATGACTAGCAGTATTACAGCTCCGACGAGAATGAGCAATGCATGAAATTTCTCTCCCCAATACTACTAATGATCTCTTTAATAATGAAAGCATACTTAGACTTGTTCCCATCACCTCGTTTGATCGTCATAACAACCTCCAAACAATCAGACTCTATGTCAATGGGTAGATTACTCCATTGTAGTGCCAACGAAATTCCCTCCTTTAGAGCAAGAAATTCAACTTCCAAAACATCATTGCATCTGTGTACGTGTCTTTTTTTAGCGGTAAATACGTGTATGCATGAACTGAAAATTATGAACCCCTCATGGTCTCTCAGTATCCGTTTAGCTTAACTCTCTATCAATACCCGGTCTAGCCCAAGAAGTAACTGCAGTTGTGTCCATGATATTGCATGTAGATTGTTTCGACATATAATTTGAGATAGCTACTGCCATTTAACTGACGAAGGTGATTTTATTTATTTATTGACAAAGGAAACTTTATTGATCTAAGAGATAAAGTGGTTTGAAAAACGAATCTACAAAAAACGCACAAAACTCCTAGATTGTGACAAGTGTTGCACATGCATTGTGCTACTTGTCTCCACGACAGGAGGTGGGGAGTGACCTTCGCAAGGGTACCCTCTAACTAGTGATTTTGTACTTTCATAGGTGGTCCCGAGATGATGTGTCCCACAACTCATTCTGGCCTCTGGTATTGCGCTGCAACCAAATGTGCCCTGGACTCCTATGGGTAGATTGAGATTCCCTCCAACAGTAGGCAAAATCACAAAGAGACTTCTTCGACAAAGGAAGCTTTTTTTTTATCTTAGACAATAAATAATACAACTATACAGAGATCACTCGTGGCCTCTAAGATGTTAACAACTTATAATTATTACATGAAAGAAATGACATGACACTAAATATCATGCCACATTGAGCAATAGCACGCAACAAATACTTTAGCTTCATCCACCGCTGGAAAATAAACATTTGGATTGTGAAAATAGGCCATCCGAAATGCAATCCCTCCAACAAAGAGAGCGACATGCACACATGCTGCAATTGCTACTCCCTCCGTCCCATAATGTAAGACGTTTTTTGACACTATACTAGTGTCAAAAAACGTCTTACATTATGGGACGGATGGAGTATGATATAACCAACTAAGTTCATGCCAAGAGTTTGCACCTTGAAGAGCAGCTTCTTTGAAACCCAATCAATGTATTCAGTAAGTATGCAAAAATAATTCCATCATTGTGAGGTACAACCAGCTAAGGTTAGACCTAGGGGGTTAGGAACAAGTATTCAAAAAGCACCACCAAGTTGCAATCCTTCGGGTGTTGTCACTCCCCGCTTGCCAAGCTGGAATCACCATACTTTCTATCCTTGACAAACAATTTTGATCCCGATGCCTTCTCAGCAAGTCCACCAACAGCGGCTTGGTCATGAAAAAGCCAATAGGCACACCCATGGATTTGCAATGCCCATCTGAGAAAGGTCAGACGTATCCTAGACTGCAAACTCCAGGTGTTAGTGTCAAGGCGACACCAACTCTTTAGATTAACATGGCCATGCCCACGGGTTTGAAAATTGTGCTGAAGACAGACATCATGAATCTTATTTCCTATCTAGGATGTCGATGCCTTCATAATCCATGTTAGTGAGGTAGTTTTATTTTGGCGGATTTACACAAATAGGTCGAGCATGGTTCTTGGTGGTTGTGGTTGAAGGCCTAGTTAGCTCTTTTTTGAGCAAGGCTTGCATGAAGGTGTGGATGATAGTCGTTCTTGA